ATTACAACATTTGCCTAAGATAATGATGATTGATAGGTTTAGTTTAATATGAATAGTAGAAGGTAAATAAAAATCATACATAGGCAATAATTCAGATGATGAAACAATCTCGCCGTAATGGCTAGTATAAACTATCGATTATTACTATTTCATAACGAAAATAGTAGCATCCCAAGTAGAGAATCGAGGAAAGGGTAGTAGATCTAAAATCTTTAGTTAAAAGCAATAAGAAGCTGCAATTTTATAGTCATTACCTAAACAATTTTTCGATAAACAGTTTTCCAGTTTTTTAATGAATAAAGTAAAAGGTGATAGAAAAACTTTTATTACATTGCAATGACTGTTATAATTATTGGTAAGCTTACATTTCCATTCCTTAGAAAGTAATAGAAAGCAAGTCCAGAATTAAAGAAAAGAGCAGTTTTGAAATTTTTACTACAGTAGAAGGTGATGAGAAATCACATCACGATAACTAGAATAATTCACCGATAATTAACATTTTTATCCTCGGCCAAGGTAGTAGAAAGCGGCAGTAAACGAGGAATGAAGCAATATTGCAACGCCAAATGTACTTTATCCTTCAATAAACATTGTCATTTTTAATGAAAGTGGCAGAATGCCGTGAAAAATCGAGAAACGGATGTTAGCTGTGCAACTTTGAAGAAGTACAACAGAAAACGGCAGGCAATTTTCATCTTAAGGCCATGATAAACTGATCAATTTACCAGGTTAAAATATTACGAATACTTAGTGAAAGTGATAAAAAGGAAAGTAAATAGTCAATGCAGGTAGTTACTGTAAATTCGCGATTAAAATAAGATATTACAAGACAATTTCAATTCCTTTTATTAACATCAAATTATGCGATTCTATCCTCCTCATTCTTCAATATCCAAGAAATCAAAATTATTGTGGTGGTATTTTCTCCAGAGATGAAAATTTTTAAATTTATCGACTAGTTCCGTCAACGTTTATTTATAGAGATATACTCTTATACAGTACATTATATCATTATTGATGCCAATTAGTAATATCAGTACGGTTAATCCTATTGCTATTTTCCTGGCAGATTAAAAATTTTATAAATTCCTACACGTTAATATTAAGGTGTTTCGATATGGATTGATCCGTATTAGTAAGAGTAATATTCAGTTATAAAATAATTCCATTCAACGCGTATTCAAAACTGGTGTAATACTTATCATTCATAATATTTGCAACTGATGAGTAATAGTAAGACGGCACTGAGTCGATTTTGAGAGAGATACTAATTACTCAACTTTATTGAGCATTTTATCACTTATTAAAAAATAGATCCAGTTCTAAATAACTATATTCAAGTTGCATTTAAAATTTAGAGAATGGTAACTATCCTTTATCGTTCTGCAATTAGCAAGCTAAACTAAAATGATACCTGTTAAAATTACCAAAATCTTCACAGAAAATACAGCATTGTTACAGGAAAGAGTAGAAAAGGTTATTCTATGAACCTGAAATACGGTGTATATTACTCTAATGGATATTCCTAGTTGCTAATTAATTCATTTATCTATACCTATATAGTATTCGCAAATTAACGGTGCTTTGTAAATTTGTCGTAAAGTGTTCTACAAGTAACTTATGTACATATATCGTATATACGCATAGTTGTGTCAGAGCCATTAAAATAATTTTCAGCATCTCATTGATGCTACGATAAATCCTTGGATCAGTAATGCATTTAGTATCGGATTGGAAAGTCAATAGTTATAACTAATAGTAAATCATTAAATGGACGATGAATTGCTATAGATAACTATCGTAGAAGTTTAATAATCAGAACGACGTTAGATTATTAAGAAAAATTTTCCTTGTTTTTGCTGCGCTAATATGAATCATTTTCGCTTAAGGTCTATACCACTATTAGGAAAGATGAATGAAATGTTCTAAGTCTACTAATCAAATTCTAACTGTAGTGTATTTAGAATATACTGTAACTTTATTCTACTCTTAAATATAGACATGTTGTATTGATCTTATATTTAGACATATCTACAGTCTGTTCGCTCTACATTCAAATATGGCTTACTACATTTAGTTATTACAGTCCTCGCTATTTTCTACAATCATCTGCTATTTTATAACCTGTTATGGTATATGTTGTATCTAATCCTACAATCATGTTCTCTGCATGTGTTCTAATACCTTAGCTATAAATACAGCTGTTTTCTACCTTAGATTTGTTATGTTGCATTATTAGTCACAGTTAATATTCACACTTTACTCACGGCAGCTACCACGCTGACCTACCGTAATTATCACACTGTACCTAACTACAATCTACAATAAAGTATCCTCTTTTCTTAAGCTCCTTGTGCAATTCTCTGCATGGCAACTAAAACCACATTATCTGACACTTCGAACCCTCCATCACACTAACAATATCGGTGATGCCAAGACTCTAAGAAAATGATGTAGATTTCCGTTATGGGAATAATTTTATTCATAATTAGCAGCGTTACTGTTGCCAGTAAGATTACAAATCAAGTTCTGACAACATCAGTAATGCCAAGATTCTAAGAAAATGGCTTCAATTTCCGTAATGTAAATAACTTTATTCATAATTAGCAGTATTACTGTTGCCAGTAAGACTACAAATCAAGTTCTGACAACATCAGTAATACCAAGATTCTAATAGAATGATTTCGATTTCCGTTACGTCAATAACTTTATTCGTATAAGAGTTACTATTGCCATTAAATCAGTATCATCTAATAATAACAGTAAGGATAATGTCTAAAGTTTAAGAGAATTACTTTTCAGCTTCCATTACATGAATAATTCCAGCCATGGTTAGCATTACTAAAGCTACGGAACATGGCAACATAATATTGGTCCGACAATAATTTGAAGAATGAAATATTAGAATTTAGAGAAAACTTTTTGAAAATTTTAATTTCCGCTGCATGAATAATTCTAATTAAAGCTTGGAAGTAAGAATTAAATGAATATTAAACTACTGTCCGAGCTATAATAGTTATGGTGATGTCGAAATTGTCGATAGATTATTGATACTTTAATTGAAAAAACAATTCTAGTCAGAGTGTGCAAGGAAGGATTGGATCTATATTTAAAATACTGCCTGACTAATAACTTTAATTGTATTGTAAAAAATTTAAGAAAGCTAATTTACAATTTCTACTAGATGAATTATTTTAGCCATTCTGAACATCGATATTGCCAAGAAAAGAATTATTTTGATCGAATAATAATAGCCAAGAGCAATATTACAATTCGAAAAAGCAATATAAAAAATAGTTACAGTATACCATATATATAGTTTTGCTTAATGAAGTAATAGTAAATGGCTGGTATGATAAAATGGTCTACTCATATTTTGATAACTCTAGTTTTGAGTTAGTGAATTACGAACTTAACAGGGTTAAAAATTCATTCACTACAATACTAATTAAGATTACAAGAAAAGATTGAGTCAATATTAGTACATTGATCGAATAATAAGCGAAGAATAAATTCAAAATTTCGTGAAAACTACTATACTGATTCATTTCCACTTCCGCTGTGTGAATAATTTTAGCCAGAATTTGTCAGCAGGGACTGAATCAGCATTAAAATGCTAACTGAATTATTTAATACCATAGTTATTAGAGAAATAGAACTTTAAGAAATTGTCATTAGTTTCCCTTACATAAATGATTATAGTCACTTTTAACAGTACTACTGCCAAAGAAAGTAGCAGTATTGAAATACTGATCGAATGATGGCAGTAAGTAACTTTAGAAGTTTGAGAAAACTACTGATTAATTTCTGTTACATAAATGATTTGACTGGATGGTTAATATTATTATTGTAAAGGGATGAATTACTCTAAAATTTTGATCAAATTATACGAGTAATGTGGAGAATCATTTTTAATTTCCGATGCATGAATAATTATTCTGGATAGCTAGTATTTACAACTGCCGTAGAATAAATTATGACTAAAGTTCTGATCAAGAGTAATAGAATTTTGAGAAATTGGCATCAATTTTCATATATAAACAATTTTAGCCACGTTTAGCATTACTACAACCAAAGCATAGGTATTAAAATGCTTATTAAATGATGGCAGTGAGTAGCTTTAGAAGTTTGAGAAGACTACTAATTAATTTCTATTGCATAAGTAATTTGACTAGATGATTAATCTTATTATTGTAAAGAGATAAATTGTTTTAAAGTTTTGATCAAGTTATAAGAGCAATGTGGAGAATTATTTTTAATTTCCATTGCATGAATAATTTTACCGGATGGTTAATATTACAACTGCCGTGGAACGAGTTCATATTAAAATTCTGTTCAAGATTATAGAAGTACGAGTTATATCGGAATCATAGGGAATTGCTTTTCAATTTCCATCACCGAAGTGATATATTATCGGATAATTAATAGTGCTGCTGGGTACAAAATGGATAAACTCCAAATCCTGATGGCTAGGGACAAAAGCATCCCAACTTTAAAAAAATCTCTCAACTTCTGAAGTATTTATCATCGTTACTGCTATTGAATTGATCAGTATTAAATCCTAATCGAACCGGTACATAAACTCAAGAATGAGTAATATAATGGCCTTGAAATGAACTCCTCTCATTGCGTTATATTAGTATCAATCCTGTTTAATCAATAGCTAGTTACTACCGAAGAATTAATGATAGAGTGGTGTAATGCTGGGATAATTTAAATTAAATGAGAGAAAAGCGTTAGCGACATTTCTCTTTACGATAAATTATGCTCAAGATAATAAGAAGTTCATTTTATTCATCATTTTTTCCTTGACGGTAAATTATGCTCAAGACAGTAAGGAGTTCTTTTTATTCTTTACATTTCGCTGTACAGTAAATTGTGCTCAAAACAGTCAGGAATTCTTTTATTCTTTAAAAGAAAATGATCAATCTATCAATGACATAAGAGTCAACAGATAATCCTCTACAATAGTAATCGAACGATCAATAAGTTGGTTCAGATCATCTCTTTGCATTCGTATAAATCATTTTACCAACAGCTTGAAGAAATGAGGATTCATGCTGTGTATATGTGTTACTTTTCCGACCTATTCGACGACAAAGTGCTATTATACGTGAAGTAACAAAAGCAGTCCGAATGTTATTGTTAAAGAAGCCGTAGAGAATTGGATTAAATATAGGGTAAAAAAAGGCGAAATAACGAAAGACGGGAATAGTATTTTGGGATATGGCAGTTTTGTCACCTGCAACAGAGTAGACGAAAAAGGTAATCACATAAGGCAACCACATGACAGTAAAGACGGCAACAATAATAGATAGACGACGAGCAGCTTTAACATTTCTCACTTTAATCCGACAAGAATGGCTAATTTTAGCTTCCATATGTAACTTGTTTAATTGTTGATTAGCGATGTGGAAGACGTAGGTATAGCACAATAACATGCATGCTAAGGGAACGAAAAATAATAAACTAAATACAGCGATTAGGTAATCGATTTCTGTCGTTGAATTACTCACTGATCTTTTACAATCAGGCGGTGATAATTGACGAAATGTTATAAAGGGTAAAACAGCGACGAAAGCAGGAATCAACCAAATTAAAATGATGCCTACCAATGATGCATTGATGGTTGCAAATTTGATATATTTGAATGGATACAAAATAGCAAAGAGTTTATCTAAGCTGATGAGAACAAGATGAAGATTGAGGATAGTGATAAAAAAGATACCAATCTGGGGCAAGATAGAGCAAAAGAGCCAATTTTGAGAGGTATAATTAACAAACGCCCAACGTGGTAGAATGTACAATAATGACCAAAGGATTCCAGTTGCACACATGCTTATCACGACAGTATTACTAAAGTTCCATAATTTTCGATTAAAACATATAATTCCTAACAGGATAGCGTTGACAATAATAGTTAACGTACCATTAAGTAACCAAATAATTTCATTAACAGTAAATGTGGAAGAGTTGGAATTCATGATATCAATGAGGATAAGGATGAGAAAATAATAGGATAGGGTACAGTCAGAGCGAAATTGAAACAAGCTGATCAACAATTGCTCATATAATTTTGAATATCAATGATTACAAAATTGAATTCAGTTGATCACTTACAATCTTTAAATATTAACACTGCTAGACTACAATTTGTAAATAATTGGTGTTGTTAGTAAAAATATTCAAGCTATGATAGCAATTGAAATGAATAGAGATGACTACAGAGATGAATAATTAAGAGATACAGAATGAAGATCTATGATCTTTCTTTTCAGCTGTACCGAATTAATTCTATTTAAACTTCTTTTAAAAGTTAAGTTTGTCTTACCAGCAATCGATGACTCTAGTAAAGTTGGTTGATATTATTATTTAGCTCTAACTGTAATGAATCCAATCTTATTCCAAATTTTTCCTTTAAGGTTAAAGTGTATCTTATGAACTTTTTTAAATGATTATCGTAACCTTGATGTCAATGTTGAAGTACGAGTATATATGCAACATTGCAATGATAGAAACCAGATAATGGAATGGATATAAGATACTCCATCTATTTGTAAAAGTATCTATTTTTGCTCGTAAAGATAATAATTATTATTATTTATTATTGATTGCACCTGTCAGATGGCGAGGCTAAAATTATAATTAATACATTTTGATGATTTTTTGGTGTTTCGTCTACTTGATTACTAAAGTAAAATCAACAATTAAAATTAATTTTTGTCCTTATTCAATTTTTATTAATCTACAATCATTTATTATTTTATCTAAACATTCTTCTTCTTGTATGCTTATATAAGGGAACTGACATCAATGTCACCATGGTATCCAATATCCATAGATTGCTAATTATTCACAATAATTTGAGGACATTTAATTTGTTTTTTTTTTCAAGTTTACCATTTAATCTAATTGAACATGGGAATATCGATGATCACCTATAATTAACCTATTCAATACTCTTCCTTCCTTTTCTCTCTATCTGTGCATGAATCTATTGGGTTTCAATAGCTGTAATGACTACTATGGTGACAGTGAATGCTTCTCATTAATAATTTCCATTGTACAAATATGTTGACCTTTTTCAGACTATTTATTTATGTATCGATACTATAATACTGAAATTGATCGATTCAATTCACTTACAAGCATTGCAGACATGTAGTAATACATAAAATTATAATTCTATTTACGTTGATGGAGTATTTTTTTAACCCTTTCCAAATGCTGTATTCAATTTTTTAATCCTGATTACACGTGCTTACAGGTAACACTTACAACTAATAAAATTAATTATGCATGAAGAAAAACTTTTGATTTTTATCCAAGATTGAAGAAATACAATGATATTGATCAATTTCTGCCTTATAAATTCTATACTAATTCGAATAGCGTCTTGATATGAATACAATCAATGTTCAACTACAGACTGTTATTATTATCGAAAGAATAGACTTTATCAATCCATCACATGGCTAAATATCTTCCATACGGAGTTATAATCGTGAGATTAAAGTATAATAGTTACTGTGCGTATTAATTCTATGTCGCTTTCAATGTCTTTTGAAGTCAATGGAATAATCACGCATTAGCATAACGACCTATCCATACTTTATTCTATGCTAATTTAAACGTTCACTTAATATCAAATTAGTAACCATAGGCTGTATACAGATTAGCGTCAACATTTCTATTCTATACATTCTAAAGTGGTTTAGATATTTCTAGATATCTACATAGTATTATAAACCTTCCTGTTAATTATGGCAAAATAGATTAACTCGCTCAGATATTCTTTTGCTATTGCTGCAATGATTATAAACTATAGGATAATGATAAATTCATAAACTATTATAATAATTTCATAAATTTGCTATCGTTAAGAGAGAAAATTGCATAATATGTTCATAATTGAGAATTTCAAAATAGTAACGATGTCACGTGTGTGCATTTATGCTTCCTTTGTAATTTTATGTAACAGATTTAGAAAGAATGAATAACAGTCAAATCTCTTTCTAGATTCAGAATTCAGGAAGTATGCAACAAAGTAGTTATTATAATATATAAACATTCTTTCCTTATATGGTCTTGTTTAAAAATAGATTGAAATAGCGATTGATTTGCATATATTACAGGCATCATTGCAATTTAAATGCGATTTCTGTCTGATAACTAATTTGTAATACTTGCAATTCAGAATGCCCGGCAATTGCGTCCGATTTATTTATATAGTAGATATATTTATTTGTTTATTACAACGTCTTGATTACATTTAAATTGAATGATGATCGTTAACTGATTTAACCAAATATTTATTTATTATTTTGAAATGAAAGAATATTTGTCAAATCGACCGTAGATCTGCTGCCTAGATTGACTCTCAAAATAAAATGCAATCATTGTTAAATTTGCACTTTCTAGATTACCATAGGCATGACTTGAAGACGATGTAAGAAGAAAGGTATAGTAAACAAGAACAACAATATAATATTCTTTATCATCTAACACTTTTCTTGTATTAAAAATACCACAATGATTAGAAAAATTATGCAATAAATTGCTTTAGATGTTACTTGATTTCGAATTCCGAAATTGGTATTTCTGCTCGATCAAGTCTTTAGTTTGTCATTCTCTTAATGTTGTTTGAAAGGATGAGGTACTATGAATAGGTGATTAAACTTAGAAGTTACAAGAATCTTGTTACGAAGTCGACGGTATATGTTACGATAAATCAATAAACGTATTTTCGTAATATGCGTATTATTGAATGTTACCACCAAAATATAAAAGCAATCCAGTTTCCAAACATACCTTGGCAATACGGAATATTATATAGCCAATTCGTTACTTAACTGACCGATATGAAAATGCTATTTGTCTGTGTTAGGGATAATTAGATGTTATTTAGTCAGAATTGAAAACAGTTACCCTTTCACCGCAGTTGCGTAATAGGCGATCACTAGTATCTATTTAATGATTGTAAGATATTGTCTAATAAAAGTTAGAAATACTGTATATTTTGGTTGTCAAAGTGTAATAGCTTATCAATACTCAATATAATCGGATAAGCAATAGATACTATTTCAAAGATTGAAAAAGCTGCAACAACTAGAATAAAGATTCAGCTATATTTTTGAATAGTGTCTAGAATAATGAAATTGAAGTTAGAACAATTGCCAAATTAAATCAGTCCATTACAAGTATATTATTTTCTTAAAGGACGATAAAACTTTATCTCTTCAACATTAGAATAGTTACTGAAAGATTACCTAAAAATTCAATAATATGTTGTAGTGATTACAAGATGTGCCCAATCAAAGTTAAATTAAGTATTATCAAACTCTGGCATCGAAATAAGCAATTTACAGTAGATATTTAGTTATATCTTTATAATTGCGATATTATAAATTCGAAATTAAGATGGTTACCAAATTACGCTAGTCTATTAAAAGAGTAATAATAACTTCTTAGGGGAAGATAAGGCCTTATCTAGTCAAAATTTTAAAAACTACTGAAAGATGGCCCAAAATTTGATGCCTTTTAGTGATTACATGATATATTTAATCAAAGTTGAGTTAATCATTATCAAAGACGAAAACTCTAATCTACATGCAATAATCCGCCTACCTATACATTATTAAAACAAATTGTTGCTATAGCATTACTAATACCAATATCTATTTCTTGTATAAAATAGTCAAAGTTTACGTCTGTACTACTAACATTATCGAACTATAAAGTAATTTGATAGGCGTAAAAGGATGAATCTATTTATATCCAATCGAGAAAAGCTTTCGAAATATCGTAAAGATATCTTCTTATTGCCAATCTCCAACTATGGACAAATACAAGTATATATTATTTATGACTACATTAATAGTAAATGATATATATACATCAATTTGAAATAAATATTGATAGTGAATAGGTAATCATTGTAATTACTGTAGAATATGCTATTTGAATGATTATCGTACTAATAGGAATTAATTATCATGGCAACGAAATGTAATTATTTCGATGTAAGCGATATCAATTATTCGTATAGAAGAAACGAATAGATAATTAAGTATCAATTTAAGAATAGATACTATCGATATTATGTCACAGTCATCAAAATAACTTAGATATAGGTTAAGGCTAAGTTGTGTGATAGCTTTATATGGTATATTGTGTTGAGCGAGTTAGTACTTCGTAAGGATTCCAGCTACGATACCGTAGGCTAGGGAAGTAGTTCTGCGGATTAAAGTAATGTTTATTATAAGTATTGTGCTGCTTTCTTGTGTAACAAAAGTCGTTGTGGCATATTGCTATTTTTACCACTGACTACTCTTGATCAATTGTAAATCAATAATCGTACTGGTTCCTTCTCTTATGGTATTAAAAAATACATTATCAAATGTCGAATTGAAAAACTAGAACGGTATAGGATTCAGATATATTCTATGCTAACATTATTTATCTCGTGAAAGGTACGTGACAATACAATAGGGTTAGTGTAATTAAATAGCAAATATACGCTAATAATTTGAGAAAATATTAACATTAAATAAGCTGTAAATTAATTCTTTTTATTTCCTCCCTTGCTGCAGTGAATATATGAAGACACCATACAAATAGATACTATCTGGTGATTAGCTAATTTTAAATAATTTTCTTTGCTTTAGACGCCAATATCGAAAATAAAATTTTAATAGTATCTTACTAATCATCGTGTTCTTGGAAGAAAACTAACTTTTGAACTGTTTTACGTTACTAAAATGTTGAGGGATTTCATTAGTAAATCGAGAGAGTTATTGATGGTATAGAAGTAGGATAGGCAAAAATATTAGTTGACCCGCTAATACACGCTTACCTATTTTGGATAGGTGACTGAGATTTAACAGATTGTTTATTCGAGAAGATCAAACTAATAGTAGACAATAAGTGCTCGCTATTTTATAGCTAATCGAAAACCATTACCAAATTTTAATAATTTCTAGCC